TAAAAGTATCAATGGTGGTTTGGTCAATATATTTACAAAAAATATATGAATTCATATGGTTTGAATTATCAGTAAATTTAAATGAAAAGTAAGTAATATAATCAAATAATCGCGCATATAGGAGTATAAATTATTTTACGTTGGTTTATTCATGTAACATATTTTAAATATATAATAGAAATGTCCTTGATGGTCCAGTAAATAAAAATAATAACAACATATTTAAGATAAAACTTATCTATTTTTTATAAATTAATTAATTAACAAAATTTTCATTTAAAAATTGTTAACAAAAAAAATTGTTTTACAATATTAAATTTTTTTTAAAGGCTTTTAAGTCTCTCAATTATATTAAGCACCCATCGGTCAAACAAACATTATATCGTTACGTTTTTTAGTTTCTTTATATATAGGCCTGTAAGGATAGTCTTCCTCTGCACCTCCTGTTAAATAAGCAAAGTTGCCATTGTATGATGACTTGAATGGTATTTGTGGCTGCAACTGCTGTTGTTGTTGCTGTATTTGTAGTTGTACCGTATCTTCTGCTGATGGGCCTCTAAACTTGTTAACGCCTGGTGTCACGTAACCGTAAGTTTGTGGTCTTTTGGAAGCTAACGAATTTGTGAATGGATTAATGGTAGACTGAACTGGCATGCCAACTGTCTGCGCATATCTATTGTCATCCAAAGATTCATGATATTGTGGAGGCCCTTGTTGTTGTTGCTGATGTGAATATTGATTGCTTGTAGAAGCAGCAGTTGCTGCAGCTGCCGCATAAGGATTATAATAGGAATGTTGCTGTAAAGTAAATGGTTGTTTGATTCGACTGTCTTCTGATTTCATGAATACTGGTTTCTTTGCTTTGGATGACTTCGGTTTATGACTTGATGTTTGGTGTTGGTGATTGCCTCCAAAGCTGCCAGACGTTAACTGTTGAGGACTATGAAACGGTAATTTAGAACTGATAAGGGGACGCTGTACGTCAGTTTCAAGAGAAGAGTACTGTTGTTGCTGTAAGTGTTGTAAGTATTCGGGTTTTAGTGGAATGACAATGGCTGGCATCGTTTTACCGCCACCGTTTTCGTCAGTCTTAAAGAAAACGTTATGGACGACTGGTAGTGACATCATATTTTGATGAACTGAATTTGGCGATGTAGCTATCTGAAGTTGTTGGTGATAAAGACTATAGGGTAATGCATCGGCTAATGAAGTATATATATTATGTGTCATCGGTATTGGAACCACTATACTATGATAATTAGGAGGATCAACTTTCACCGACTTAATTGGCGGAACAGATGATGAACTGATGGCTTGCAATGGTGTTGGCGAAGGTGATTGATGTCCAGTATATGGATATCTCGGCAATGGAGCTGATAAGCTAGGTTGATAGTTAAGCCTCTTCTCGCGGGACGCCTTATTAATCTGTGGTACTGCATTACTAAAGTCGAAATGATTCATTTTCGACAACACTTGTTTGTGGTTAAAGTTTTGAGGTTCAGCAATCGCTGTATTTTCAATGCTAGAAATGCTTTCCGAAGAGTGATAAAATGGAGTATTTTGGCTTTTGTGAGATTCTAAAAAATAAAATAAAAAACATTGAAAACTTTCTCCACACAATGCTCTTGAGAG